ATAGGTTTTTATTTACTTTCCGTATAGACAAAGCGTGAACATTCATCGCATGCTTCAGAATGTCACCTGTTATTCTTACGGAAGATGTAATTAAACAAAACATCACTCTCTCTCTCTCTCTCTCTCTCTCTCTCTCTCTCTCTCTCTCTCTCTCTCTCTCTCTCTCTCTCTCTCTCTCTCTCTCTTATACACACACACACACACACACACATAATATTACGAGAGAAAATAGGAAAAAGAAATGGGGTTCGAAACCATATCTCGAGAACTTCCCAACATGATCCGAATAATCATAAAGTGAGTCATTAAGGCCCGATAAAAAAATTATAACATGTAATTCCGCTCCAACAACGACGAAAAAATAACCAATACCTTCTGAATGCCGCATTAGCCATCCGCGCAAGAAAACAAGAAAGTAAAAATGGCGGCAAAATGTATTTGGTGCCAGACAGGGAAAAATAAAAATGGCGCGCGAAGCTAACCCCGGTAACGCGAAAACGTCACGGAATCATCAACTAAGTCACGGTTGACCGGAAATCCCTGACCCTAAAAATGGAAAATAAGTTAAATGTTAATTAGAAGTGGCGGATTAGGGCCGCAGAGGGTAGGAGGCTGGAGCGAGGGGGGGTAGAGAACCTAGGGGAGGCTGGTGTAGCAATCACATGTAAACAAAATTCCGTTAACTGTAATTATGAGCGTGATGATTATACTAATTTATTTCGATTATTTTTTTTACGTTGGTTCATTAGACTGGCGCATATATACAACTACGATATTCTCCTTATTTATTTTTAGCCATTATACGTGAGAATAAATAAATCCCTAACGAGTTGCGAAACCCAAATTAAGTTTTAACACCAAATCCCGTTTAATAAAAACAAGGTTAGGAGGAGAGAGAGAGAGAGAGAGAGAGAGAGAGAGAGAGAGAGAGAGAGAGAGAGAGAGAGAGAGAGAGAGAGAGAGAGAGAGAGAGAGAGAGAGAGATTGAGAGAGAGAGAGAGAGAGAGAGAGAGAGAGAGAGAGAGATGAGAGAGAGAGAGATTGAGAGAGAGAGAGATTGAGAGAGAGAGAGAGAGAGATTGAGAGAGAGAGAGAGAGAGAGATTGAGAGAGAGAGAGAGATTGAGAGAGAGAGATTGAGAGAGAGAGAGAGATTGAGAGAGAGAGAGAGAGAGAGAGAGAGAGAGAGAGAGAGAGAGAGAGAGAGAGAGAGAGAGAGAGAGAGAGAGAGAGAGAGAGAGAGAGAGAGAGTCCGGCAAAAGTTAAGTGGAAACCCAACCAAAAATAATTACATAATTTACGAATAAACTGTTAATTATCGATAACCGACGGTGATCACTTTTTAAGCGCGTAAATTAGCAGAGAATTTCCATACCATGCTCTCTGACGCCTAAAAAATTGAATGAAAAGCCACTAAATGACTGAAATATATTCTACCGGGATTCCGTTGCCAATTAAGTTATCAAATATATTTATAATGCTGAGTAGACTTACAACTTTTGACATTTCTGTTCTTTCTGTACCTAGAACATTAAGATTTGAATAACAATAACATAAATAATTCTTTATCTAAATTTCATGATATTAATCTTAACACCTTTATCCATAAAAGCGTGATTCTGTACTTTGGTTTTACTGTAAAACTTTAATATCTTACTCACAGTAGTGTAAACTTCTAAGATCCGAAATTTGATGAAGAGTTTCATCGTCATGAATGTGCTTATAAAACTACATGAAATATTACATTTATTACGTACACACAGCATACTGTACAACTGTACATGTAAACACAAACACACAAGCAATATATACAATGAAAAATAATGAATGAATGAACTGCCATGAAAAGGTAAAGAAAAGGTTTCAGAGAGAAGCGTCAACTAAATTAATTAGAAACCAGTAGAAGCACAGACATCCCAATAACTCATATTCCCAGGCAATTAAAAATCACCGAGATTTGTTTACAAGTCTTCCTACTCCCAGCAAATATTTTGGAAGATCACAGCCGACATGATTTCAGAAGTAATGCGTCTCTCTCTCCTTTCCGCTGCTACAGGAGAGATATTAATTTTCTTCCTGGAGCTGAGCATAATCCTTTTTCTTTTTCAGTCTTAAATATTTTCGGTATCTTTATATATGCTCAATTTTGCCGTTTGAGATATGTTTTTTTTTCCAATCATCATGGTAACTTTAAAATGTGAGACAGCGTTTTCTAAATTGGCGCACTGGTTGTTTTTATTATACCAATTATCATTATCAACACAATAATCGTTATCATCGTCATTCATCATTATTATCATCACTAACACCATCACCTTCATCATCTTCACCATCATCATCATCACCATCATCATCATCATCATCTTCAATCGTATGTTAACCCTGGAGGTTGCATTACCCAATTATCAAGTTCTCCTTCTCCTTCCGTATTTAGCGATCACTAATCTCGTAATGAATGGCAAATCCGAAGTCCAAACCTATAAAACCGAAGACATAAACAATGACTCCGGACGAATCCTTTTTTTCCGAACCATTAACTAGTCCGAATCATTGCATCGTTGCTCAGAATCGCTCGCTATTCCCGAAACTACACTGATATGAACTATTTAATCTATTGGAAACGACGCTACTGTCCCAGATATATAAAAAAGATAAATAAAAAAAAATAATCATGAATAAAAATGCAAAGGTGGAAATCATTGTATTATCAAAATAACGCTAATTAAATTCTTTGCATTTCAAATTCAAATAACTTATTGAACGGCTTCGAATGCCGCTAATTCTCAACAATTATCCGAGCAAAGAATCGTATCAGTGGATCGCTGTGTATCAATTCCGTGAAAACAAATCCGTTTTACATACTGTCAAATTCAATGGGCCAAAAATATATTTCCATGTGTAAATTTCGGTAATCCTGAGAGAGAATGATTTGGCAGAGGGAGGGAGATACATAAATATATAAATATACAAATATATATATATATATATATATATATATATATATATATATATATATATATGTAAGTGTATATATATATATATATATACATATATATATATATATATATAGAGAGAGAGAGAGAGAGAGAGAGAGAGAGAGAGAGAGAGAGAGAGAGAGAGGAAAAGTGTATATATGTATGTATGTGCGTGCGTGCGTGTGTGTGTGTGCAAAGGTAGCGAGAGAGAGAGAGAGAGAGAGAGAGAGAGAGAGAGAGAGAGAGAGAGAGAGAGAGAGAGAGAGAGAGAGAGAGAGAGAGAGAGAAACAAACTAATACACAGAGAAAGAGAGAGGCAGAGACAGAGGTACAGACAGAGACAGAAATAAGGACAGATTAAGCTAGAGAGAAAGTAAAAAAAAAAAAAAAAAAAAAAAAAAAAAAAAAAAAAAAAAAAAAAAAAAAAAAAAAAAAAAAAAAACACGCACAAAAAAAGAGAGAAAACGGAGAAAATGACGACCACTCAGAACAAGGAGAAACAAAGAGCTAATCTGGGCACAGAAAAACAGGTAGAACACAAACACAGTGACACACATAACCCCCCCTCAAAAAAAAAAAAAAAAAAAAAAAAAAAAAAAAAAAAAAAAAAAAAAAAAAAAAAGTATAAATATAGACAGATGGATAGTCGTTTGCGCTCGAAATCCTTCCTATTTTCTAACAGAATGTCCAGTCTCTGAAAATGCAAATAGTGTATGCTCCGACGTCAGTTTAGTTTGGTAATGGCAGCGTGGATTTGGAAGCTGTGACGGAATAATCTTCCCATCTCTTGTTCTCTCTTTCTCTTTTTTTCTTCTTATTCTTTCTATGTATCTGTTCTCTTTCTCTTTTTTTCTTCTTATTCTTTCTATGTATCTGTTCTCTTTCTCTCTCTTTTGATTTCTTGTAGTCCTATCTCTTCCTCTATCAATATTTTTTTTTTTTCTGCGCCATCTCTTTCTCTCTCTATCTAACTTTTTTCTGTCTTACGTATCCGTTCTATCTCTATTTGCTATTTTGCAGTCCTATCACTATTTCCTGTGCACTATTTTTTCTGTCCATTCTCTCTTTTCCGTTCATTTTTTCAGTCCTTTCCTAAGTCTATTTTCTATCTTTATTTTCATTCCTGTTTCTATTTCCTCTTGTTCTACATAGTCTTCTTTCCTAATTCTCTTTTCCATTCTCTGTTTTTTTTTCTTCTGTTCTACCCCTCTCCCTGTTATTCTCTGCATTTTTTTACCTTCTTTCGTTTTCTCTCCTATCTGTTTTCTCAGTTCCGTACCATCTCTCTCTTCCCACCTCTGTCTAATACCATTACTTTTCTATTCTCTCTCTTTATTCTCGCATTTATCTTTACTCTCCTCTCTTCTCCCCTCTATTTACCTCGCCATGTTTACAGCTTATCCCTCTCTTTCATTTAATTAATTTTCTTTAATTTTCCCTCTTCCTCCGCTAATTTCTTTTTACGTTCCCCTCTTGTTTCCTATCTTCGCTTTTCTATATTACTTTTTATATTACTTTTTCAAACATATTTTGTTCATTTTCTTTTTCCTCGTCTTTCATATTTTTTCTTCCCTTTCCTGGCTTCATTTTTCCCAGTTTTCTTATCTATTCTAAACTTACCTGTATTTCCTTTTCTTTATCCTTCCCATTTTCTTTAAATTGCTTTTATATCCTACTCCTCTGTTTCTAGATTTCGCTTTTAATATCTTAGTTTCCCCTTTTGAAACGATAATCTTGCTTTCCCCCTTTTCTAGTCAAGATTTCCTTCTTTCCCCCTTTTCCATTTCCTCCTTCCTCTCATCTATTCTCCCTTCCCATTCCCTCCTTCCTCACTCTCATCATACCTTCTCCCCCCCCCCCCATCCTCAGCACACCTTCTCTGCATCTCTCCGTCCCTCCCCCTCTCCCTCTCCCTCTCCCCTTCCCCCCCTCCCCTCCCGCCCCCTGTCCGTAAGCGGCCAAAGGCACTCTAACAAGAACTCAAGACGGACAGCAGCAAGACCGGGGCGCGCGGCTCCTCACTCACCTTGAAGTTATCCCCGTGCTTCGAGGACAACATATGAGCCACCTCCCGCAGGTGTAAGGTGTAGGTGGCATCGTCCAGCGCCGGCGGGAAGGCCAAGGAGATGATTCTCTCCGTCACGTAAACCACGTCCATCTTGGGTCCTCCTCCAGGGGGGCCGGGGCGCTCCCCCCCTGGTCCTGGCGCCTCCCCCGCCAAGCCGCCCCCGGTGGCCCCGCCCGCCCCGGCCATCACGCGGTTCAGGCGGGCGGCGGACTGGGT